TGATCAGTTTTACCTTTGTATTGACCAGTTTTACCCTCGTATTGACCAGTTTTACCTTTATATTGATCAGTTTTACCCTCGTATTGACAGGTTTTACCTTCGTATTGATCAGTTTTACCTTTATATTGATCAGTTTTACCCTCGTATTGATCAGTTTTACCTTTATATTGATCAGTTTTACCTTTGTATTGACCAGTTTTACCCTCGTATTGACCAGTTTTACCTTTATATTGATCACTTTTACCTTTATATTGATCAGTTTTACCCTCGTATTGACCAGTTTTTCCTTCGTATTGACCCGTTTTAGCTTCATATTGATCATTTTTATCTTCGAATGTTCTGTCTATAGTTAACATCCACTAATAGATCGAAAGTTTGAAATGCATAAATGATTGTTTCCTTTCATAACTTATAAATCTGTCAACGTAACAAAGATTGAGATTTTTATTAGAACGAAAATTTCACATTTTTTTTTCTTTTTCACATCTCGTTTGATTATGAAAGTATTTACGTCGTCTTAATAACGACATCTTCTGAAGCAGCGCCTTTCTAGGACTCTACATCGTAACCTCAACCAGCCACGCCTTCTACAAATCCGGTTAGCGCGTCTCCTACATCTCCGGCATCTCCTCGAACGCCATCCGAAATCATGAAAATCATGCCCACCAAGTATCCCGCCGTAGGAAAGATCCAAGAGATCATAACCATGATCCGCAAATAAATATCCTTTTGCCTCCATCGCCAAAATGGAAAGACACAAAGAGATGGCAAGGAGGCATGATACAAACTTCATTTTTTGTTCTCTGTGGGTAGGAATGAAACATTAATTAGTGCATATTAGTACCCAGATGCAGTAAAATATATCTGTATATTAAAATTGACATAACAATGCTACAATAAAAACTTATCTTTATTTATTTATTTATTTATTTATTTATCCTATCATAGAATTTATTGTCGTTATAAATGACAGAGTTTGCAGGCAAACATTTCATATTGCGCAAGCATGTAATACATGTGTGATTTTGTTTGCTAAGTTCTGTCATTTATATCGATCATAAATGCCAAAACATGACAGATCAATGTCTATAAACAATTTAAAATAGAGTTGTTCCTTAGTTTGAAAAAAAAATCACCTAGTTTTTAGTTTTACGTGATCTTTTTTTGATATCAACGTCTTCGTGTAGGGTAGATTCACCATATACATTTATTACAAAAATTGTACAAAAGACACACAAGTGAATAGCACCTTAATTTAGAGTGAGATACAGTAGAGCCAAACAATGAATTAAACTGCATCATAATGCTCATCCTTCTTTCAATCTTTCCCGAATGTCGATTTACTTCGCCTTAGATTGCTACACCATATATTCCTAACATCACGGATGAGTCATGCAAGGACGAAACAAGTGTAATGTGCAGTTTAATTCATTATTTAACGCATACAAAATACACTTATGTAAAACTAACTTTGCGTTGAAAGGTGCAAATTATGTATCTTTTATATAATCTTTTCAGATTGCAGGCGTGGATATAACTGACGGATTTCCATCTCCTAGAATGCCATGTTAAACTTCATATGGATAGTGTCACGGTGCAGAAATATACCTATATCTGATTCCTTTTAAGATTCCCCAAGAATGAATTGTACAAGATGTTTGGTGAACGAAGGGTGCATCTCCCCATATATATTTCTAACGATTATCTCTGCTGATTTTAATGTTCCCAATCTTCCTTCTTCACTTCCGTTTCTTAGTCGACTAGAATCATTGAGGTGGGCAAGTAGGAGGAAATAGCTCGCCAATTAAATATTCGGTATTAAATACACATGTTTTACTTAATATGGCATCAAACTTGTACTGAAATGTGTTATCCTCGAAATTATCTTGTGTGGTTTCGTAAGTTACAACACTGTGGGTTAAAAAGGTGAAAATTTCCCAATTGTCCCAATGCACAACACAATCGTCTGAGTTAAAGGATGTTTCCCATGTGTGTCTATCCTTTCATGCAATATAATACTACGTATTATAAGGTGACATACCATTGTGTTTCTTTATTACAGCACAATAATTTATGTTGAACTTATCTTTTTCACGTCTTTTTTACAATACTATACATGTACTTTGTAATGAAAGGGTGCTATTCACTTCTTTGTTTTTCGCAAAACACATTGCTTCGTGTTGGAAGATGATGTTGTCATGCATGCTTTCCAAAGAACCAATATTTAGTGTCGAATGGTGTTATTCAGTTTTTTTGTAATACTGACTACAGAGAAAGAAAATCAAACAAAGAAACTGTTTCTCTATTTTTTTGATTGACATAAAAGGTTGTTAAAGGTACAGTATCAACATCAAATATAAACTTGTCAGAGTGTCTAATAAGCCCTATCTGGTTTATAAACACGAGCACCTGTGTCTAATATTACAGAAGATTTGTATGGTATAAAGTTCAAAAAACATATAAAACCAATCAATATAAATTTTCTGGTTCAAATGAAGGACTTTCCTATAGCACGCATCACTATTGAATTTGATGCAAATTACAGACCAAAAAAATTATCTTATTTGAAAAAAAAATTAATATTAAGATAAACATACATTAAATCCCATTACGCGGTAACTTGTGAATGAAATAAAAAAAATCTTACCTTTTTTTGTTCAGTGAATACCTGAGAAGGGAAAAGTCGAAGAAAAGTCAATAGTGTGGGCTTAAATACTAAAATCTATTGAAATCGATTACTATCGTTGATTTATCGTCAATCAAACATGTTTATCAAGCGCGCATAGGGAAATAACATGCTTCACAAGGTTTTGACATATCTCCGACGTCTCATTTTAGAGTACACAGTTACTATGGAAAGTGTTGTTTACTGTTTGGTACTAATCACATACGTATGTTTGTTATTTATTTCAACCGACTGTGTTTTTCCTCCGTCGTCTCCTAGGTTTCAACAACGTACGTCTGTAGCATCACTAGCAAGACTTACCTTATAGATGGACGAGACAGTCAGTTGTTTATGTAATTCTTGTATAACATTAAGTTACATTACCTTACTATGTTTTAGATACAGTGTATAAAATCATATACAAAATTTAGGACGCGGCAAAATAATTATGATTCGGAATTAAGTTCCCAAGTCATTTGCAATAAAATGGGCTGTGTTGAATATGTTAAAGGCATTAAGGGAAACACTAATGTCTTTTCGTTTTAACAGACAAATAAAGCAATGTGAGATGGCACAATCTGTTGGATGTATCACCGAAAGCTTTATTTATGTAAGGCGTTGATGTTGGGAAATCACAAAATTATAAAGAAAGGTATATTGACAGGTCACCAATATCGTTATCTGTACTTGGTGGGCGGGTGGCGAGAAGTGTGTACCACAGTACAAGTACCAGAAGAATAAGACCAGGTCCGTATTCATTTCTAGCAGAGGTCACTATTTATTGCAAAGCCTCCGATAAGATTCGAACCCGTGACCTCTGGCTTACCAGTCTAAATCTCAACCAAGAGAAGAAGTTCTCACTAGTCGAAAGGTATATTGCCGCTAGTAGTAACAAGGTATAACATACTCTCCTTTAAGAAAAGAACTCGTCCTCGAGTTTCCTGGAGGTTAGAACGACGTCTGCAAGTGTATAATTTCCGAGTCCCTCCGTACGCTCCAATGTGACAACGGTCGTTATTTATTTCATTGCCTACGCTAGGATTCGAACCTGGGCCATTTGGCTTACTAGTACAACTAATTGAGCTATAGAGAAGTTCTCACAAGCTGGGCTTTACATTGCGACTACTGTTTACCAGGGTCACATATGAAACCATCCTCATGCTGAAGTATCAAATCTGGGATCGTCCCAATTATTTTTGATATCGCTTAAATCATGAAGTATTGATTTAACAGAAAACGGCATTGACAATAATATCTCACGTGTCCGTATAGTAACGTCACAACCGAAAACTTCTTGCTTGATAATCACGTGTGTGCCTTTTGAAAAATCTTCGAGATTGCAAGTGGCACTGCTGATGGACTTTCAGTCCCCGAAATTTTTCATTCCCTTATGACACGTTTTAATTCATTTGAATAATAATGGTCCATTATGCTTGACATATCAGATATTAATTATCAATTATGAAAATTACTGATTATGTTGAATCATGAGGTTTGTACACCTCCCAATCTAGATTTTGACTTCTCTTTTGATTACGTAGGATTTTCCCCAGTTACCTCGTAGAATTTTGTCAAGAAATTAACTGACAGATAAACGCAAAGCAGGGTTCCAAAAGATGCAGGTTAAAACTTATACGGAAGTTTTACAGGAGTCATTGTTATCTAATTACACCTGGTTGTATTCTCCTTGTACTTTTTTTAATGATTTCCCGTGTTTTGTTCATCAAATGTCATAGTTTTAATGAATTTGAGTTTGGATTATGATAACGTAGATATGTTGGTATTTTCTTGTTGTTTTAGAAACACATACAGTGGTTGATGTTCTGTGGTACAAATCAGTAAAATATGTACTTAATATTGATTCTCGTTGACTACAATTTAGCTTCTATTCGCACCTACTAAAACTATGCAACATGATACATGTTTATTATATCACTGTCATTTTTCCTATACGTTCATCCCTCATAGGTCTAATACAGTATGCATTTAGAGGATACACCGAAACAGGTAGAATCCTTGCATGCGATGTGACTATAACATACCGGAACCCTGTCAGGTGGCTCACAGGTGAGTACAACAATCCAGTAACCTTTTCTGACCAATCAGAAACGCATATTGTCGTCATGAGATATGACAATTATTGACCTGTTCTCAGGTGATAACAATGTTTGCTTAACCTGAAAAGGTTGTATTTACCGCCGGTCTCACCTTCTCGTTTTTCCTCATTTTCACGTGAAATCTGGTCAAAAGTTATATACCTCACGTTTCGTTTAGAGTATAAGTAATATTGATATATCCTGATTTACGTCATGACAAATAACAATAAGAACAAAAATGAAATCTCACATTTATGTAAAAAAATTCAAATAAAAAAATCTGTATTATGAACAACAACAAAAATAACGTCAACATCACAATAGAATTGGGAAACAATGAAGTACCAACAAAGATTATTCATTTTCATCTCAACATCCTTTAGAAGGTGCAAGTGCACTCAATACAATATACTGTCAGTTACTCTCTGGATTTAGAAGTAGAAAGGTTTATGCAGAAATATGTCAATCACTGTCACAATTTTCTGACAGCCTGCCCGCCTTAGCAGAGGAACAAACACTGGCGAGCTGCCCTCAGGCATACAAAGGAGGAATTGCTTATACAAGACCTGTACCTATAAATACAGTTTTGCTGGCATATCCTTCTCCTTAATCTTCTCCTCCTCCTTCGTTCACGTCTAAGAGCTCTTATGTCCGTTCTATCTATTCCTCCGATACCACCTATTCCTCCGATACCACCTATTTCTCCTATTCCTCCAAGACCTCCTATTCCTCCAAGACTTCCTATTCCTCCTCCTAAACCTCCTAAGCCTCCTATATGTACACTTCCTAGTCCTCCAACGCCTCCTAGGCCACCTGCGCTTACTAGGCCTCCCACATCTCCGAGTCCTCCAAAACTCCCTAGACCTCCGACGCCTCCAAGACCCCCAATGGCTCCGAGACTGGCTCCTAAATCTGAGCTTCCTAATCCTACTACTTGTGCTAGAGAAAGAATTGATCGTACATCGTCTTCTAGTACCCCGTTTAATCGAGCACGTCTACTCTGTCCATCTACTGCAAGCGGGAATAACGTTACACAAAACACGAATATAAGTAGACACACGTCCATATCTGAAAGTTAATAATCAGAAAATAAAATGTGTGATACAGTTTGACAAACAATATCACTAATCATATTACAAAATGATATCGTGATTATTTCAAATCATGAATATATATATATATATATATATATATATATATATATATTAGAATAGCTTAATACAACACGTCGAATTAAGCATTAACGCTAATGCTTAATTCGACGTGTTGTTTCATGTTATTCTAATATATTTAACCGGATACTGAGAATTCAACTTTTATATTTGAATATATATATATGACACACAATGAAAGAAAACAAATTGTAATTGATAATTAATGCCTTAAATTTCTTCATTTATAAACAAAAAACCGCTTAACTGTAATGTAACAAAGCAAACATTTAAGAGCATATTGAATCACCCTAATCATGTGACAAGTATAACGTGATATATTAGAGAACCAAAGGAAAAAAAAAACCGGAATGGCCATGATTTTGCATTGTGAAAACTCGTTGTTTCAGAAAACAGAACATGCTACAGAAATTTACAAATGTTGAAAACACTTTTCTATGCAACAGGAGGATGGATTAGTTTTATAATGGATATTAAAGATTATAATTTGAACATGCAGCGAAATTTAGAGGTAAGCAATGACACACCTATATCAAAGTAAGTATATTACAACAAGAAAAATAGAATGTAGCTAATTTCCGTACCTTTGTCAAATTGCAATTGTTTGGATCTTTCCGGATTCTGCAGATTTGTGGACTGACGATGTCCAGAGTCTACCTTTATGTATACCTAACGTTGGTCAGTTTTTGAGTTGCTTTGACGTATTATGTGTCCACTAATGACGGTGAGACCGTGTCCATCTTATTTTATTACCATGAAAGTGACATTGATCGACAATGATTTTAGTCAAGCGCGGCATGCCTAGAGCTTGGTCAACTTGACCGCTGGCATAGTCTATATGTAAACACTATGTAAATCGGAAGTTTTTCTGGAGAGTCCGAATGTGATTGAGTCTCTGTGAGATGTCACTCAGCGATATCTACGTCAGCACTTTTAAGTACTATATCTATATTTAACATTGTGCCATTGGTCGTTGTCCGGTCGACATGAACGTCAATGAAGTGCTGTTTCTATCATAGCAGTTCCTATCGATAGACGCTTTGTTGTGATTGGTGAAAATACCAAAAGGAAAAGGATGTTGTACCGTTACATCTAATCAATACGTCATATCTAATTCGACCAGTCAAGATACAATTATCCTTCAAGCGCATACTTAATTATATTTATATTTTTGCAATGTCCATTATCATTTGGTCTAAAAAATATTGGTTAATTTAAGTAGACTAATCCAAACACGTATAATATATTACCTTATTTGACTGAATTAAAGTGATTAATCCTGGAATGAATGTAACTAATAGTTATAACCAAATGTTCTACTATGTTCAGTGAAATGAGAGTATTCCTGTAATATACAGCACAGTTACCGAATTCTGTATGTCTCTTTTGGTTTCCAAACTTTGGTTTTACCCAATAAAATAAAGAGGGTTGCTATGAATTTCGTGGTTTATATATTTATATTTTAGATTTTGGTGCCTAACTACTTATAGGTACGATTCAGAATAAATATGTGTAATTGACAGATTTGAAGTTCTTAAAATATCTCATAATGTAACTTCATGAAACGTATTATGGAGTGTGCGTACCCCAACATCTATATTTTGTTAACTTAAATGGTTTATGTACCCCACATATATATTAAGTTGAATTATAGGGGTTATGTGCCCCTACATCTATATTTTGTTGAATTATAGGGGTTATGTATCTCTACATCTATATTTTGTTGAATTATAGGGGTTATGTATCTCTACATCTATATTAAGTTGAATTATAGGGTTTATGAACTCCCACATCTTTATTTTGTTGAATTATAGGGTTTATGTACCTCTATATCTATATTAAGTTGAATTATTGGGTTTATGTACCCCCACATTTATAATTAGTTGAATTATCGGGGAAATGTACCTCCACGTCTATACTTTGAAGGTTGTTAGCCTTCTAGCCTAATCTTTAGGCCCAAACATCTTTAACGAATCCCAGAAGACGACGCTCATTGTTATTCATTCGGCAAAGCCTCGTGTCTTTTCTAAATTTGAAAATTAACTAACGAGAGTTAGATAACGATGATAATCAACTGCCACTCGTTGTAGAACCTCTATATCTATCACACAATCCCCCTGTAATCCAGCGCATGCAATACATTTTTGCTTTCATGTCATCAGTGTAAATCTGAAACTTTTTGTTTGCTGCGTCAGAAATTGATTGTTATTCCAAAATATGGACAGTGTTGTGACATCATGAATTGGTTGGGTAAAAAATGTTTCCTCCTTGGGAATTGGTACGTTTTCTTTTTTTCAATTTTTCTTGTGAAAATGTATCTTTTGTTTGGTTATTACGTAAAAAAGTATCTTAAATTTGTTTTATCTTTTTATGAGATTTTGTGAAATTCATCTCGAAGTTTTCATTTTTGCTTGGCAATGCTCGCAAAAATAAAAAAAGAATTTTTCATGAAATAAAAAGTGGTTAAGATCCTGCATATATTGAAACATTAAATATGATAAGTTAAGTAATATTGACAAACATTTTATCATTTAAACGTACGTTCAATGACTTTCGTACAAACTGATTTATATTCGAATTTACATCTGGATAACCGTCAACCAAACATCACCTTAGGACGGTTTCGATTTTAAAGGGCCTTCTACGTCCTACCGGCTGAAGGAATTAAAGCGATATTTTCTTATTGTCCTTGGCTCTATATTCCAGTAATATACATCCAAAGAACATTTGCTTGTTATGATCCAGAACCAATATTGGACCATACCGTCAATATTGCTTTCTAGACTCTATCTTATAAGATTATTTTTGAACTTGTCTTGTATGACATCATCTGATAAACGACACGTAAATAATAATAACAGAAGATATTTCAGGTAACTCGTTAATGAAGTAAAAATTATTTGCGAGCCTTTTTTTATAGTTCTTGTCAAATTATCAACTTAAAACACGGTAACAATGCAGTAAAATTTCAACATTTCCAACATTATAATTTCTTTGCGTATCTATTACAGCAGTATCATTGTGATAACAAAAGACCTGAAATATTTTTGGCGCTGAACAAAACGGACACTTTCTCATATACACATGTACATGTTATTTGAAATGATTAAATCAAGCTTGAAATTTCCTGAGTTAAAAATCCTAACATTATAAAATTTGAAAATATTTAAGAAATAAATTTATTAAAAATAAATGCATCAAGCTTAATACGTAGTTCAAAAACTGTGTAAGTGCCCTGGGTCACCAAAATATATAGCTCAACAACCCTGTAAATGATCTGGGTTACTAAAATATACAGCACAACAACCATGTAAATGCTCTGGGTTATTGAAATACATAGTTCAACAACCCTGTAAGTGTCCTTGATTACTAACATCATTTCTACTAGTCACTACTTCTTTGCATCTTTGTTTTCTCCTTTATCCTGTGTCAGACTCTGCGCTAACAATCCACACGCTGCAACAGCACCAAGTCCAACAGTCCAGACTAAGGCAGTATCAACCTGTGATAGAAAATACAACTTAGCACTTAGTTAACATATGAAAGTCGTAGCTTACAGCCTGGCACCTTTAAACCATTCCTTGTAGTTTTGTCTTTCATCAAAGAGCCACTACATTTAATGCGATGTCATTTTGAAATATAAATTAAATCTGTTGAAATATTATTGGAATATCTAGTAAAATTTTACTCTTTCAAAAATGGTCACGTGTGACCTTTAAAATTACCCAATGACCACTATATTGTAATAAGAAGTCCATTTAAACTACATCTGTTGAAGGATCAATGAGGTATCTTGTACACAAAATTTACATGTAGAGACACGCAGACATATTAGTTACTGCATGGATATGCTTATACCCCCTTAACTAAGTAGGGGCGTATTCACTTGTTCTTGTATTAGATACCAAATATTTTCTTAAACAAAACACATAAGTACATAGACGTATTTACATGTCCTTGAATATGACACTAAAACACATCATCAGTGACCTGTTTCATAACACAATATATATATATAATAACTTATGCATTATTCACCTGCTCTGACCACTTTTCTCCATATCTAATGAAAGCTGCAAAGTGTTCACAGTTATTCCACAGTGCGTTGTAACCTATCTCACCAACCATGTCCAGTGCTATCCGTACCATTTCGTGTGCTTGGCGTGGTCTGAAAAAAATATTTACACAAATACTCAAGAGAACCAAGAGCGTCAGTTCTGTGTAATTTCGACAAACTAAAACCTCGAGTTTTTTGTATTTCCCTATTTTACAGGATGAAAGGAAACTACAGTCCTTTTCATGACTTCCCCGAAATGCGTTCTTTTGTTTTTTTTATTAACCGGTAATACCTGTTGCAGCATTTAATTTACAACGTATCTTATTTTACCACTATTTGTTTACAAAGTTTGATGATTCTTGTAAAAGACCCGTTTTTGTCAGAACAAGATGATTATATGAAAGGCGGTTATCATAAATATATTATCTAAAAATGAGAAACACGCACCTGCACTTCCTGTCCTTTCCATTGTTTTTCTTTGCTTTACAATCATGGGCAACTTCAAGGAAATTATCCACCTTCACCCAGGCTTTGTCGAAATACTTCCCACAGATAGTAAAACAACTTCCTTTGTCGATGGCATCACTGCTTTCATTACCCCCTGAAAGGTGCACAATACGCCCTTCACCTTGCCAGAGAAACAAAGAAAAAACAAATTATCAACAGTTGTTCTTTATTTTAAGTAAAAAAATGTATAGTGGTAGGCACGAGTGGTAATATCTCTATGCCTATTTACTTTATTCAATATTCACCTCTAATCAGTTCAGTTTTTAAAGTTTAAAGAAAGACCTACAAACACATAAAACCTGACATGAACATGTGACGATTTTGTATCAGAACATATATGTCTTTCATACAATTCTGACATGTATACATGCAGAAAGAAAAGCACAACAAAGTTAGATATAAAATACCTTACCAGGGACAATAATTCATGCTGGGGATGATGATTACTTATGGTGTTTATTTCTGAAAGTTTGTGCCAAGAATGATAATGGGGAATTCATGAGGGTTACCGAGAGGTGTTATGTGTGCATGCACATTCACACTCACTCAACTCACCAATCAGATCAGTTCTTTCACATACCTTACATACTCAGACTGGGCATCTTAAATTTATGAACTGTAACAGTCCGGGGACGGATCATACATGAAAAAGTGTCAAACTTGTCCCTTGTCAATTTACGGAGTCAAAATATTGATTTTTGAGAGTCAGCATACTGCATACTGTTGATTGATGCAGTATGACAATGTGAGAACTTACTTGTTTGGGTAAGTCATTTCTGACTGGCATGTACCCTAAAATGGTACTAACAGAGAGTATTTCTACCATGTTTATATAGATTGAGTTATATTGGAACGTACTGACAAAACATATATAATTTGCCTCAAAATGTGGTTGATTGTCTATAAAAATATAATATTAGATAATAGTCATGATTTGATGATGATGTCTCCTTTGTAAGATTTTGTGTTTAGGAAAACAACATTGTTAATCTTTCACATGAGTTTTGTCAACAAGAGTCTTAATGAGTTTTGCATGCAATGGCAAGCAAAAACTAAATCTCATATGAAATGAGGATTTTATCATGATTTCAATCGCATCTGCAATCAGAAAAGTGAATTTTGACAAAGTTTTAAAATTAACACGTGGAGAATAATATCAAACACAGACATGCCAATATTGTTGCACCATTTTCAAGCCCTGATATAATGTAGATAATGACGTCAAAATTGAGTTCTGAGTTGCACAACCAATGTAAAACACTCCAGGGTATATAACACTAGTGACATGTATACTGATATTATGCGAAATTATTACATGGGCAAATTCGCTGGTTAGTCTGATAAATGTCATAATCATTACTATCTATCGCCAGTGAGTTCTAAATTTATTCTGGAGATGAAGAATCACATTGTTGAAGAGATTGCTGGTATATGGTCACTTTGTCATTTCTGAATTAAAGTACAGCTATCATTTACCTATATATACACCCCAATGTGAATATAACCATCGCGGAAATTCCACCATATCCCCAACCTCAAGTTCATTGAGGAGCGTTGCATTATGGGAGTCTAATGGAACAGTACTGGCAGCCATGTTACATCAACTTCTGAAGGAAAAAGTAAGAGAGTAAACATTTTAGGAATAGCATAACGACAGAAAAAAATCATAATCACAAAGTGGTGTAACACATGCAAGTTCTAAGTAAAACTATAACAGCGTGTAGTCTGAGGGAAGCAACTTTATTCAACTTAAAATCTATATCAAGTCCACCTTAAGGACTATCCTAAACAGTTTGGACTATCCTGCAGTGATGCACAATGCTTGTATATATAATATTCCACTCTGTCATCTCCACTACAATGCAGAATCGATTTCCAAAACTATTTTAGAGTACATCTGGCTCCACAACGCTGGGTAATATTCATTTTTTTATCAATTTCCAAATATGGGTTCTGCAATGTGTGTAAACGTTGTTTGTCAGATTATAGACTTGTTTATTTGTTATTTTTTATTCTTTCTGCTTTTTGAATTGACAATCTGCGAATTCATTTTTTCTTGTTTTAATCGATCTAGAGCAGGACAAAACTAAGATAGATGATAGCAAAACCCTTTGGACTATCTGCCATATTACATATGTTACCTATATATATATACCTATCAGAGACCATGGGCATTAAGAAGAAAACGGGTGAGGCTTGAAGCTGTGGTTACAATCAAACATTTAGATATGCACTAATTCTGAGTACAGGCTACAACATGTTAATTGCACACATGTGTATCACCAGAATCACAAGTAGCATCACGGAGTATGAAAAGTATACTTCATCAATATCAATAATGAGATCAATCTACATGCGAGTGTCCCCAGTCCTGTACATACAGATTTTTGATGGGACTCATAGAATGTATGGAAATACTTAAACTTGACATTATGGTATTTTGCAATAAACTTGAAAAGGACTCGTGAATATAAATAGCAGATCGATCACAGTTAAAGTATGAATTAACATAATTAACTTACCTTATCAACAGCTCTTATCATGTTTGATACATGTAGATAGACGAACAGTTACTTTCATTTTCCATTACATATGTTGTACACGTCCTTCGTGTATGAAATATCACATAACGGTATGAGAGTAAAACAATATCAATAAACGATCGTAGTAAACGCAGATTTGATTGCTTTGTCTGAGGTCGAAAAAATTATGTTATGACCGTTCGTCGATTAGGCATATTTTGGTTGATGATACATACGTGATGCAATATCCTAAACAATGTTCTGTGTCTTGCGAATGTTTGTTTATGAGGTAATATGAAGAAACGCCAGAGCATTGGATCCGGAATTTCCCCTTCATCAAATCAAAACCAAAAACAAAACAAAGAATGCCGCAGAGGTATAGTTTTCTTCCGACAAGCTGTTTGGTAAGAAAACTCAGACAGACATTAATATTAACCTGATAGTAAGAGACATTTTCATGGAAAGATACCAGACATTCTTCCATAGAAATGCCTCTGCTGGCGTAAGAACACCGAGATTATCGTTCTTTACTCCTTTTTCGTGATATTTGAAGAAGATAGAAATCCCCGAGTTTTATTAATAAACAATTTGATATTATAAATGCTGCAAACGGTTTAGGAGAAAGTAGTATTCACTAAACAAGGATATCTAATATATCACACACACACTCACCTCGCCTGGAATTTTATAAATTACTTTCGTTTTCCGTTAGATGTACACACATGTTATTTTTAGTTGAATTAAGAGGTTTATGTACTTCTACATCTATATTAGGTTGTATTAAGGGGTCTATGTACCTCTACACCTATATTAGGTTGAATTAGGAGATTTATGTACATCAACATCTATATTAATTGAATTGTGAGATTTATGTACCTCTACATCTATATTAGGTTGAATTATAAGGTTTATATACCTCTACATCTATATTACGTTAAATTAAGGGGTTTAAGAACCTCCACATCTATAGTTTAAGGGTTTTTTTTCAGTTGATTTTGAGTTTCCAAATTCGCTTTCCAAGCTAATCTTTGTGCCCAAGCATCCTTTAGCGAATCCCAGAAGACAATGATCACTGTAATACATCATTCTACATGTAAAACGCCTATTATACAATTGAAGGATGCTATTCACTTTGACCTTTTGCAGAATCATTTTTCAAACATTTGGTGATGTTTTCGTGAAACAGAGTTTACAACTTTTTATTTCCCTATATATCTAGTTACCTATAACAGCCATCTTCCCTCCCATCCTGTCCTAGTTCTTTTCCTTTGGTGTCAGAATTTGCTGCCATTGTCAAAATTGTTACAAAACAGTAAAATACATTTTAGATATTGACAATTGTAACTGCAAAAGATGAATGTCAACACTATACTGTTCAATATTCTTGGAAAGGTTGTGGTCACAATGTATGTATATATACTGAAGAGAAGTGCTGCAATGAGACACGTGCTTTATTTGTACACAAAGAGATCTCACCGTACAGGTATCTCGTGTCAAGATGTTTCCACTGTGTATATTTTGTTACGGTTCAATACGTGACAGTGATGGAGTATGTGTACATATAAAGTAAAACCGGTATTGTTTTAAATCGTTTCAGATCCGTCAACTCGGATCTTATTTGCTATAGAGGAATGTCCTTAAACATGCATAGGTCATCAATATTAAAACTCCCACAGTCGCCGGCTATATATGTTGACAGGTATTATGAAGCAGTCGTGCAAGGCAGCAGTATCACGAGACAGATTATGTCGTCACGTTACTTATGGTAAACACTTACCCCAATGATTCTTCAGCTTAAATATAAAGCTTTTTAAAACAATATCCATCACACAATCCCACTGTAATCCAGTGAATGCAATGCCTTTTACGTTCATGTCATCAGTGTAAATCTGAAACTTTTTGTTCGCTGCGCCAGTCAGAAATTGATTGTGATTCCAAAATATGGACATTGTTGTGACGTCATGAATTGGAAGAGAAATGTGGCCTCCGTGGGAATTGGTCCGTTTTCTTTCTTTTAATTTTTTAAACGTGTGAAAATTTATTTTTTCTATCGTTATTTGATAAAAATGTATCTTAAATCTGTTTTAGTTTTATTTGCGATTTCGTTAAACTCGTCATGAAGTTTTAATTTTTGCTTGCTGAGTCTCGCAAAAATATAGAAATTAAGACTCGTTTCATAGAATCTTACGTGAAATGAAAAGTCATTTAGATCCTTTATATATCGAAACATCAGATATGTAATTTAAGTAATTACGACAGTGTGGAAAAATAACTCGTCAAATTTTCGAGGCAATCTGTCTCTTTTTACACAGATGACATAATTTACACGTACGTTCGGTGGCTATCGTACAAACTTCACTAAGATTTATATCAGAATTTACATCTGCATAATCGTCTATCAAACAACACTGTAGGATGTTTCCCCTGCTTCTGAAGGTCCTTCGACGTCCTACCGGGAATTAACGGGGTATATTATCATTTTTCTCGGCTGTTATTTGTAACTTTGTCTTGATTTTATGTTCTATGCATATGATGCAACTCGTGAAGTATTTTTTTAATTTTGTGTCTTGATAAAGGGACAAATTGTCTAGAAATCTCGACAATTCCCTTGTCCGAACTGTCCTTATAACATTATTGATCATGTATATTTATATTCCAGTAATCTTCGTCCATCGAACATTTTTTTAGGATCCAGTGCCAATATTGGACCATACCGTCGATATTTCCTACTAGACTCTATCTTAAAACATTATTTTTGAACGGGTCATGAGTGACATCATCTGATAAACCGAGGCGTGCATAATTAAGAACATGTCGTCCCTCCGTAAATGTCCATAATTTAATTATGCACATCAACTATTGGTGTGAAAGAACTTTGTGCCAATATCCGATCAACGTCCCTTTACGTTAGACCTCTCCTGGGACCATATGAAGGGGGACTACAGTCGGAAAAATGGGTTTAGCATACAAGTCCTTATCATAAACTACAAAATAACCTTTAAGCTTATGGTACAAAAATCAAGCTCAAATACATATACATATCTAGGATACCATCAATTTGCATCACGGCCTCCCATCATCTCAGTGTTAATCTGTATTATATCTGATGTATATTGTGTTATGACTTCTCATTAATTCGTTAAACGTTAAATGTAACCTGGGTTGTACATCGCATCATTTTGGCGCCGCGTTCATCGACGATACATTGACGCATTACAAATGCTCTGTTGAAGGATCTATAGACATATACAACATAATTCAATTATAGAGTAGGAAGTGTGTTCTTCATCGATGACACCCGCCATAAAAATTGATGAAGTTATAGTAAGTAAAATGGCGCTCCCAAATGTAGTTTAGCTGTCAGCTGTCGGTATCTAACAGAAATTGATTAATATTGGGAACAAGCCCTTGAATGTCGAATCAGCTGTGACATTTTACATGGTAGGTTGATGAAACTGGGATATTGCGTTCTAGAAATGGAAAATTCACAATTTGAAATCACAGAGCTTATCATAGAGCTCATTCGAAAACTGACCTAGTTGGCCTCGTTACAAGAAAAGATCGACGTTAGAGGCTTACAAACAAGTCTGTCATGACCTTGGTCTGTAATCCTGGTCAGCGGATAGGTATATAAGTACAGGTATGTACATGATAAAAGGTCATCAACTGAAGGACTCTGCAAGGTCTTCGTGACCTGTTTGGATATGTTCTTCTACTAAAACAGACTTTTATGAAAATAAAACAAGTCAATCAGGAGAGGAGCAGTTTGTTCGCGTGGGTAATCCAGAAGTCTATTTGGAAGGTCTTGCTACCAAAGTCGACAAAAAAAGTTTCAACAAGAAATTCGATCATCTCTAAATTTTATCCTCTGTAAATTTTCTCTTCGCTGTAGACGTGTTTTTGAGAAAAATAGTATGCAGCGTAAATTGATATCATCTTTTGTTCAGCTTACTCTTCCCACTTTCGGCATCTTCGCTAGCCAAGGTCTCGATTCGCTTGAGAGAAGCGAATCGAGACCTTGTCGAGCGAAGAGGTCTTTCGGTAACCATCGTCACACTTGGCGATAACATGATAATCATACGTTGGTCAAGACCGCATGCGTAACTACATGCATGTATCTGAGTAAATGTCCAGCAGTTCATTAGATCGTTGATATATTATTTTTCTTGATCTCAGTGTACAAAACATCTTAAACCATGTAGTCATAATTCTACTGTGACCCGAAACAGATCTAACACGACTGGATTCTAAACTCATGTCGACCATGAGTTTTGACAATGATGTTAATGTTTCTTTGTTCGTAACGACACATTGTGGTAGTAATACTGATCTTATTTGTCAACGTACATTTTAATAAAGGACATAACTCCATCCTTTTACGTCAAACATCGACATATTTCTAAACTAAACCGTGTTCATTTAACCTTAATGCACTCCTTCTTACAGATATAGCTTACCATGTTATGTATATATATCTTTTTCTACTTGTTTCTGGATACTATCTCGCAAGTTATTTAAATATTTTAGTTCTTTTAGATATACTACTAAAATCAAATAACTACCCACAGTGCTCCAGATAACTTTTTAACGCAGGCTATCTGGAGCACTGACCCAACAGAAACAGTTGAGGAATGACATATATTTCTAGTCATTGCTACGGACTAAATACCACAAAAACAGTAAAATACAACAAATTTTATTAACATTATCACCACAGCCAAAAACAAAGCAATCATCAAAATGTTTGTAACACCACAGCAATATGCTTTATGTGTAAATATTTCTGCGCTGCGAGTGATGTACAATGCAATCAATAAAATTCATGTAAACAAACAGAACAAACTTATTAAACTCAACACTTTCAGGATTGATCAACTGTTATGAATATAATAATAATAATAATAATAATAATAGTTTGTAAATCTTGCTTTGAGATCTCCAACAACTCAATACCTGATAACAGAATGAAACAAAACTGCTAGGCTCTGTATGAATGAAGGAAAGAATAAATAAGAATATTTCCACCAATCAGCAGGAAGCTAGGCTTGGTAGTAAAAGCTTGTTCCCAAGGCCACGAAACCGTAACTGAATTGCATTTAGCCTAAACAGAAGATATGTGAATAAATGAATAAATGTATAAATTATGTTTTCAAAATATATATGATACATGTGTAAAGAATTATATAAATCATTTGTAGATATATGGAATAAAGACAGAGTGTGAACCGAGGATTGTCTTTATGTTAAAACAGGAGTTTATATCCAAGGATAGTATATCCCCTCTCCCTCACATCTATACATGTTTTTGAATCAATAATTGACATGCCATAACAGTAAATCTCTACTGGAAAGTCAATGCAACTGATGACATGTACATTTATATACTGTACTACAATCACACTGTATCCTTAGTAATGTGACTATGGTACAGGATTTCAGCCATGTATAACAAATTAGAGATAAATTAGAGTTTCCGGGGGCAATATCAATACTTTTAATTATTCCTGAAGCCTATTATGTGGTTAGTCTCTTTATGCCTAGTAATTCTATATACCCCCCTCAGGTACATGTATATTCAGCGTTTGTCATTATGGCTATGGTGTTTTGTTACAGGAAGTGTATTTCAAAGACTGTCCCTCAATGACCTATAAATGCTAAGCTTTGATACCAGGATCTGTATGCATGTTTTTCTGTTTATTTGCATCATTTGTATTTACCTTGTTCTACAGTATACAATAGTAGGTTTGTCAAGTGGTTTTGTTAATAATAATGTGAAATTTATATGGTAAGTTTGTTGGTTGGTTCAATCACTCCATGAAAAGCAGGGGTAATTTTGAGGCAGGGTTTCCTGGGAATGCCTGGTGTCTAATTCATTGAATGTCATGCAGGAGAACCATCATATGCTATCCAGACCAAATTGCACAAAGGACACACCCACGACAGTATAGGACAGTCTGTTATATTGGCTTCTTAACAACGTCACAGTACATATTATGACATTTCATATCTATGAATTTGGAATCGATTTTACAGACAGGTTGTGCAATGTTAACTTGTTAAAGCACAAAAATTCCTATAAATTTTAGCATTTATGAGCAATTATATCTACTAAATTGTAATTTTCATCAAATTTGTGTTCAGTGATATTCTGACAGGTGTAGGCGCCCTAAGTTACTAAAATATAATATAGCTCAACAACCCTGTAAGTGCCCTGGGTTACTGAAATACATAGCTCAACAACCCTGTAGGTGACCTGGGTTACTAAAATATATAGTTCAACAACCCTGTAGGTGACCTGGGTTACTGAAATACATAGCTCAACAACCCTGTACGTGACCTGGGTTACTGAAATACATAGCTCAACAACCCTGTAGGTGACCTGGGTTACTAAAAATATATAGCTCAACAACCCTGTAAGTGCCCTGGGTTACTGAAATACATAGCTCAACAACCCTGTAGGTGACCTCGGTTACTAAAATATATAGATCAACAACCCTGTAGGTGACCTGGGTTACTGAAATACATAGCTCAAAAACCCTGTAGGTGACCTGGGTTACTAAAATATATAGCTCAACAACCCTGTAAGTGCCCTGGGTTACTGAAATACATAGCTCAACAACCCTGTAGGTGACCTGGGTTACTAAAATATATAGTTCAACAACCCTGTAGGTGACCTGGTGTTACTGAAATACATAGCTCAACAACCCTGTACGTGCCCTGGGTTACTGAAATACATAGCTCAACAACCCTGTAGGTGACCTGGGTTACTAAAAATATATAGCTCAACAACCCTGTAAGTGCCCTGGGTTACTGAAATACATAGCTCAACAACCCTGTAGGTGACCTCGGTTACTAAAATATACAGCTCAACAACCCTGTAGGTGACCTGGGTTACTAAGATATATAGCTAAACAGTGCCCTGGGTTACTAACATCATTTCTAACAGTCACTACTGCTTTGCATTCTCCTTTTCCCCTTGGAAGAGACTGCGAACGAAAAATCCAAGCACTGCAACTGCACCAGCTCCAACGGTCCAGGCTAAAGCAGTATCAGCCTGTAATATAAAAACATATGATCACTCGAGTCACATATCAAAGTTTTAGCTAGCACCCCAACACCTGTAGTAAAACCATTCCTTCTAATTATTTTGTTTTTCATCAAAGAGCCTTTCAAACTTGCTGTGAACTAAATATGTTGAAAGGTAAATGACATTTATCTGGTACTTAAGTTTTTCTCAATTTCAAAAATGATCAAGAGTGACTTTGATCTTCAACACTGACCAATGAACATGTAGAACTTAATATGATTCTGTGGTACAAACATAAAGTAAATTTTTCAAAGGGTTAATGAGGTATCTTGTACACAAACTTTGCACACAGAGATGCACAGACAAATCGATTACATTATGAAAATATCCTCCTTGACTAAGTAGGGGTGTATTTACTTCTTCTTTTAACAGATACCAAACATTTTGATTTCTTAAATGAAACACCAAGTATTTGTATGTATTTACATGTCCTTGAATATGACACTAAAATACATCATCAGTGACCTGTTTCATAACACAATATATATATAATAACTTATGCATTATTCACCTGCTCTGACCACTTTTCTCCATATCTAATGAAAGCTGCAAAGTGTTCACAGTTATGCCACAGTACGTTGTAACCTATCTCACCAACCATGTCCAGTGCTATCCGTACCATTTCGTGTGCTTGGCGGGGCCTGAAAAAATATTTATATTTACTAGACAGAAATATATGCACAAATATATCAATGGTAGCCCTGGATACACAAGAGAACCAAAAGCATCCCTGTGTAAATTCGACATACAAAAACATCCCTATTTTCAAAGAAAAAGGAAACTACTGTCCATTACATGACTTCTCTGAAATGCATTCTTTTGTTTTTTCGTTAACCGGTAACACCTTTTGCAGCAATTTCTTATCATTTAATTTACAACATATCTTAGTTTACTAATATTCACATCATTAGTTGGATGATTCTTGTTAATGACCTTTAGTTGTCAGGACAAGAGAATCATATGAAAGGCAGTTGGGGGCAATGTCACAGTTATATTATGTATTACATATATATATATATATATACGCACCTGCACTTCCTGTCCTTTCCATTGTTTTTTCTTGCTTGACAGCCAAGGACAACTTTGCAAAAGTCATCCACCCTCACCCAGGCTTTGTTGAATCTCTTCCCACAGATGGTAAAAACACTCCCTGAGTTAGAGGCATTGATACCGTCATTGTCCCCTCCTGACAGATGCACAATCTTTCCTTTACCTTTTCAGAGAAAAAAAAAGGAAAAACACAAATTATCAACAGCTGTTCTTTATCAAGTTGTTCTTCACATTAAATCAACAACTGCCACACTTGTATAGTGGTAGACACAAGTAGTAACATCTCTATATGTAGCCCATGCATTCATTTTATTTAGAGAGACTTACTGACATGAACATGTGACAATTTTGGTATCAGAACATATATATGTGTCTTTAATACAATTCTGACATGTATAAATGTAGACAGAAAAAATTTAACAAAGTTAGATATAAAATACCTTAGCAGGGACAATAATTCATGCTGGGGATGATGATTACTTATGGTGTTTATTTCTGAAAATTTGTGCTAAGAATGATAATGTGGAATTCATGAGGGTTACCGAGAGGTGTTATGTGTGCAGGCACATTCACACTCACTCAACTCACCAATCAGATCAGTTCTTTCACATACATTACATACTCAAAGTTTTCGTTGGGTTATACAGGTAAATTCTGACAAAAGGTTTTATTACTTGCATCAAGATGTGGTTGTATGCATGAAAACAAGAGACTCAAGGGCCTTAACGGTCACCTGAGTCACAATGCTTCTTGTAACATGTCACAGAAATGATTTTGTTGAAAAAAGTAATACAACTTTAACTATATTGTACATATAATGTAAATATAAACTGTGTATACAATAACTGCTGTCCTATGCTAAGGCTTCTAACCAAGTTAGAATTAAAAGAAATTAGACTCAAGGTTTGAATTTTCCTATATAAAATCTGCCATCAAGAAACAGTAGAACATCTTTGAAATGTAAGTCAATTTGACCCACTTGATGTGGCACACATCAGCCCCTGGGGTCAGTCAAGGTCAATATGTGCATCTCATCAATCTGTCAGGTTACACTAATAGAAAATACTAACAAAGTTTGAACACATCCATCCATGAGGAGTATTTGGTTCTACATTATCAGGGTATTGAGAAGAAGACTTTTGAAATTTCAGTCAATTTAACTCATTTTTGACCATGCCCATTAGCCCCTGGGGGTCAGTCAAGGTCAAAATGTGCTTCTCATTTAACTGTCGTCTTAAACTAATAATTCAAACCAGGTTTGAACTATTTCCAATAAAAAATAAATAATCTTCAAAAGTGACATTTTCCTATATAAACAATAGTACACTTAACCCTCTCGCCCAGGGCAAATGTGAGACCCTTGGATCATGAAATTTACAATTTTGGTGAAGCATCTGAAGGCCTTTCCTTCCTTGATGAATACTTGATTCTACCATACCTGGGATGTTGTTTTTGAAGTTTCAATCAATTTGACCTTTATTGACCCCATCCCTCAGGCCCCTGGGGTTGGGGACCATATAATTTACAAGTTTGGTGCATGTTTAGCCATGGATGGTTTTTGTCAAATTTCAGTCACATTGACTCAACAGTTTTTCCAGAAGAAGTCAAAAATATTTAAAGCTTACAACGCACAACATCGGACAAAAGGGCAATTCAAAAGGTAACCCTGAGACTTTGTCTCAGGTGACCTAATAAAAAAATGTCATAATTTGATAATGATTATTGATGTCTCCTCTGTAGCATTTTCTTTTAGAAAATCAATATTGTTAAGTTTTCAAATGAATTTTTTTTGAGACGAGTCTGAACTAGTTTTACAAGCCTTGACAAGCAAAAATTAAAACTTCTAGAATAGTTTCATAAAATTTCATATGAAATGAAAAATTGAATACTTTTAAACACATCAATCAGGTTTTAAAACTGAATGTGGAGAACAAAATTTCTCTCTTGCATCATTTTCAATTCATGACATTTCGTATATCGTGACATCAAAATTGAGCCAATGTAAAAACACTCCAGGGTATATAACACTAGTGACATGTATACTGATATATCAACACATTACATAGAAAGCTGCATCTAGTAAATAACATTATTGAAACAGAGGTCAATGTCTCTGTTTGGATTCAAATCCGAGACCTGTGACTTGCAAGCCTTAATCTGATGCTCAACTGATCATGCTATTGAGAAGTTCTCTCTAGCCAAGTGGTATATTGCTGCTAGTATCTATCAGGTCCACATACTCCCACTCCAGGAAATAACTTGTCTTCAAGTTTCCAGGAGTTGCAGCAATGCTTGTGAAAGTAACGCTAAGTATTATCCCTGAGTCCCTACAAGGGTGCCAATGTTACAGAGGTTATTACTTACTTACATGCCTCTGCTAGGATTTGAACCTGGCACGCTGGACTTACTAGTCTGACACTCAAACCATTGAGCTAAAGAGAAGTTCTCTCTAGCCGAGCAGTATATTGCGGCTAGTATTTACCAGGGATTTTATGCTGGAGATGAAGAATCACATTGGTAAAGAGTGTACTAGTAAATGGTTCCTTTTTCATTTCTGGAGTAAGGTTTCTATCATTTACCTATATATACACCCCAGTGTGAATACCAGCCTCTCGGAAATTCCACCATATCCCCAATCTCAAGTTCATTGAGGAGCGTTGCATTATGGGAGTCTAATGGAACAGTACTGGCAGCCATGTTACATCAACTTCTGAAAGAAAAAGTAAGAGAGTAAACATTATAGGAATAGCATAACGACAGAAAAAAATCATACGTGCTCCCCGAAAATGACTTCATTGGACACAAAATTTTATCAAAGGACAATATTTCTGTAATTAAGGGGTTGGAGGCCCTGACTTTGGTACACAGCACATTCCCTTAGTATGACAAATGTATACAACAAGTTCCATGCTCCAAGTTTTAAGACAAGCAAATCTATGCTCATTACACAAAATTTTAACAAAGGGCAATAAACTCTGTAACGTGGGGTCATGGGCCCTGACCTTGCTACATTGCACCTTGCTTTGATATGACTATTGAATGTATCACCTTTTAATAACCCAGTTTAAATGCAGGCAAAGTAATGGAATAACCAAGTTTAAATGCAGGCAAAGTAATGGTCCAGACAAAAATATTTTACAAAGGGCAATAACTCCTTAATTAATGCAGGCCCTAACATTGGTACACTGCACATTGTCCTCATATGATCAATGTATACACCCAGTTTCATTATCCTACATTAAATGCAAGCAAAGTTAAGCTCTGGACAAGATATTTTAGAAAGAGCAATCACTTGAAATAGAGGGGTCAAGGGTCCTGAATTTGGTACACTGCACATTGTCTTTGTATGATTAATGTGTAAATACCATGTTTTGTCATCATAGTATGAGCAAACAACCTCAGGTAAAAAAATCTAAGATAGGGCAGTAACTCTATAATTAAAGGGTTGAGGGCTTGAAAATTTTCAAAGAACATGATAAACTTCATCATACTAATTTATGTTTAAAGTTTCACTTTAGTAAAGAAAAATAAACTGTTTTCTTCTGATTGAGACTGTGAATTTTCAGTTCGTTCAAAAGTGTGTCATTAAGCATGTAAACTTTAAAGTCCCGAAGAGTCAATAAAATTGATGTTGGTAACATTTCTAAAGTTTGCTGTATGAGACAAATTACAAATTGTTTTCATAGTCTAAGTGGTGTAACACATCTAAATAAAAAGCTAAACTCCACAGTGTGCAGTCTAAGGGAAGCAACTTGATTTAACTCAAAATCTATATCAAGCCCAACTTGAACAAAATGGTCTGAAAAACATGTAAGTTCAAGATGTATACACAAACACATGACTCAAAATCACACATTGACACATGCATATATGTATCATTAACGTAAGTAGGTTATTGCATCACATTATAAATGATGCCTACTGAAATCCATTACATAATCTATTAATGGCATATTTATTGATTTGGTTTAATTTCTGATTAATAGGAACCAAACTAATGGATGGCATCTCATTAAATATCATGAGCGTAGGTCAACATACTTCGGTGTTTTACAATCCTTCCAGGACACACAGGCGAAACAAGTCGGCTAAAAACCTCCGATATCTGAAGAAAAAGACAACATATAATTAAACACACTTATCCTTCAACTTCCTGAATGTTCTCAGCACTTCCTCTTCCTACATTGTTGTACAAAATGTATACATTACACATTTTAATAGCTGATATGAAATTAGTAATCAAGTTGGTAGACGGTACACTAGGATGATAAATTCACAGTTCGTTAGGTCAATAACCATTTCATTATTATTCTTATTTTTATCCAATGATTAAGATTTTTCTATCATTTACCTTTAACAATTTCGACTTAAATTCAACAGACTTAACCAGTACTGATGCACAATGCTCCTGCACATAATATTTGGAATAGGGTAATGTCACTAGATACATGAAGATAGGTAGAATTTGAATGAAAAACATGAAAATATCAACACGTCAATATAATCATAATTCATTTTCAAAGTTCATATATGTAAGGCAAAATATGAACAAAAGAAAGATTTACATAGATACTCCTGAAAAATGTACAAGAAGAAAAAGACCAGATGTTCCGAAACAGTAAGCATCTTCTGCTTCATCAACGACACCCGCAATGTAAACCTTGGGTCAATCTAAGTAAGTAATGTCACTTTCTCAAATGAGAACAAGGTATACAACAATGGAACCAACAGACAAACTAACTAGCATTATAAAGATTTGTTCACAGAGAGGTACACATCTACTAGCCTTGTCTGCCAATATATGTACATCTACACTGAGTTATATCATTGAATGTATTGACTACCATGGTCAATTTCTATGGTCTACACAAGCCACTCCTACATCTGTTCCTATAATTAAGGATAAAGGATTCATCTATAAATTCCAATATGAAAGGTTTTAGAGAACCTTAATTGATAAAGACATGAATATGAAAAAACACTACCAAAATAAAATCTGTCTAGACGATGGGACTTCATATACATTTTCAGAGTTGTCACCACAGGTACTAGCCTCATTAGTCAATTAGACTCAGAATGTACATGTACTTCTACTTTTGTCAATTTAATTTCTCCTCATTCCTGATGTCAAATATTTTGACACTGTTTACATGTGTGCAGTAATGAGCCAAGAAATATGAGTATACCGGTAAAACCAATCTAGAGGTTATCTGTATGACAAAATAACCATAAATTGGTTTAAAACATTCATTGTGAGGGAGAGAGAGGGGAGGGAGACCTAATATGGTGCATGGAAGCTCAAAATTTTCAATCTTCTCCCCTTCAATGTAGAATCAATTTCCAAAATGATTTAGAGTAAATAAAGCTCCACATCGCTGGATAATATCTATTTTGATGATATGGTCCCGCAAGTTTGCCAAGCAGAGTTGGCCTGACAAAAGACTTATTTGTTATGTTTGTTCCTTACTGCATTTTGAATTGAAGCTGCTAGTGTTATCTGCCAGATAGTCCCAAGGGTTTTGTTTTTTTTTACCTGCAAATTAATTTTTATCTTGCGTTTATTGAGTGTGAGCAAGTCAAAAATAAAACCCATGTCAGTCAAAACCTTTGGACTATCCGCCATATTACAGAAGTTACCAATATGCTTTACCTATCAGAGGTCATGATCAGTCACAAGTACATGTAGACAGGTGAGGCTTGAAGCTGTGACTAAAACCACAGACTTAGATATACACTAGCTGAGAGTACAAGCTAAATTGCACAAATGTGTGTCACCAAAATCACAAGTAGCATTACGGAGTATGAGAAGTACGATGAGAGGATTTCTTAAAACACTTAAATGATATATATACATGATGAGACTCATACTCTTTCTAGAAATACTTAAATTTTACAAGTTAAGACCCATTTTTGCTTGGCTGTAAACTTGAAAATGACTCACGAAAATAAACAGCAGATTGATCACTGTCAAAGTATGAATAAACATCATTAACTTACCTTATCTACAGCTCTTATTATGTTTGATACATGTAGATAGAGGAACGCTTACTTTCATTTTCCATTATATATGTTGTACACGTCCTTCGCGTATGAAATATCACATAACGATATGATAGTAAAACAATATCAATACATGATCGTAATAAACGCGGATTACGCTGTTTTGTATGAGGTCGAAAAATTATTGTTTAACCGATCACGATCGTCGATTACGTCTATTTTGGTTGATGACTCCCACATTACGCAATTCCCGAAATAATATTCTGTGTCTTGCGAATGCTTGTTTACTAGGTAATAAGAAGAAACGGATAAGAATCGGGTCCGGAATTTCCTCCTTCGATTACACACAAATGCTATTAAAAACAGATTCAATTTATGGGGACTGTACATAGGCGTGATGATTATTTACAGTGATTTATTTTGTTAATTTGTGTTATCTTAAGATAAAATAGTAGAAAACTATTGTTTCCAGGGAGTTGGTACGAGGTCTTCATGGGTTATGTTTTGAACTGGTACTTTGTTCTGCTGGTACCGGTAATGAGTTCCACTGCATTATTGTGTGTAGAAAGAATGGGCATTTGTAAATGTTATTGGTAGCAGAAATGTGTCTGTAATTGTAAGGGTTTGCTTGCCTGGTCCTTGGATTTGTGCTGTGTAAATGATAATCAGATGATGTTTTTTTTTTGGTTTGTTTTTTTGTTTTTATTTTTTGTTTTGTTTTTTGTTTTTGGTTGTAAAATAATATGATTTTTTATGGTTGTACTGTTGGCCAGTTGAGGTTTTCCATCATGTCATGTACCAAGCTAGTGTTATGATGTCTGTTTGTCGTGTAACATACTACTCTGTCTTGTATTTTTCGAGTTGGTTGATTTGATTTGTTTGATATGGATCCCACACAGGGGAGCAGTACTCTAAATTAGTTCTGACTACGGATTTGTATGCATGGATCCCACACAGGGGAGCAGTACTCTAAATTAGTTCTGAGTACGGATTTGTATGCATGGATCCCACACAGGGGAGCAGTACTCTAAATTAGTTCTGAGTACGGATTTGTATGCATGGATCCCACACAGGGGAGCAGTACTCTAAATTAGTTCTGACTACGGATTTGTATGCATGGATCCCACACAGGGGAGCAGTACTCTAAATTAGTTCTGACTACGGATTTGTATGCATGGATCCCACACAGGGGAGCAGTACTCTAAATTAGTTCTGAGTACGGATTTGTATGCATGGATCCCACACAGGGGAGCAGTACTCTAAATTAGTTCTGACTACGGATTTGTATGCATGGATCCCACACAGTGGAGCAGTACTCCAAATTGGTTCTGACAACGGACTTGTATGCATGTTCTTGTATGTGTTGTGACTTTATCTGTAGATTGCGTTTGAGGAATCCTAATGTCCCCTTTTGCATTTGCAACAAAGTTGTTGATGTGTGTCTCCCATTTTAAGTTGATTTGTAGTGTGATATCCAGGTTTCTGCACGATTCTACATGTTGTAGTTTTTCGTTGTATAGTTTATATGTGCAATTGATTTTTGTGCGTTTGCTTGTTGCGGGGATGACGTTACACTTGTCCGGATGGAAGCCAATCGGTCGTCCAACTTGCCACTGCGTCAAGATCTTCTCGTAATCCGCAGGTGTCTTCTATGTTGTATATGATTTTGTAAATGATGGGTCGTCTGCAATAATCCTAGGGTGCTTTGTTCGATGTATTGTGGGAAGTTGTTAATATACCTAAAAAAAAAAAAAAAATGGGACCCAAACAGGTTCCTTGAGGTACTCCGGATGTTACTGGGATTTCATCCGACAGTTTCCCTTCAAGAACTACTATTTGGGTGCGATGTGTGAAGAAGTCTGCGATCTATGTAATTTTTGTCCTGTTATTCCTTAGTAGCTGAGCTTGTGTAGTAAACGTTTGTCAAATGTTTTGGCAAAGTCTGTGAAGATGACATCTGTCTGTTTATTGTTGTTATTTTGTGTTACGTCAAGATGTTTCATTCTGGTGCTTGTGATGACGTGTTCCATAAGTTTGCATCAGATGGAGGTGGGTGATACTGGTCTATAAATTGCGGGGTTGTGTCTATCACCTTTTTTTTGTAAATGGGTTATGTTTGCATGTTTCCAATCATTAGGTATTTTGCCTGTGGTGAGTGACTTGTTGAATATATTTCTTAGGTTGCAGTTATATATCAATTCGTTGAGTAGCTTTCCACGTATTTGGTCTGGGCCCCTGTTGCTTTGTGTGGGGTTATCTTTTCAAGTAGTTGAATTTTTTTTAACACGCAATGTGTATTTCTGCCATAATGGGATATGGTGAAAGACCTTTATCTGGTTTATTGTGATTATGTTCTGTTCTGAATGGTGCTTGAAATTGTTGATTTAGAATGTTTGCCTTTGCGGTGATGTCTCTTCTGACATGTCGATACTTGCACAAGGCTATGATATCAATATTTCCTTTCCTGGTTGTTTTGATGTAGCTGAACAGTTTTTTTTGTTAAAACATTTGTATGATGTTGGTGTGCCTGGTTCATTTACGGACAGATAATTGGTCATTTTTTTTCTGTGTAAGAACGGTGTGCATTGCGTGTTTGTTTCTGTACTTCTGCTTTTAGTGTTTTGTACTTTATCAAATCATAAAGAGACCGAGAAAATGGAGTAGTATTCCTACGACCAAATGTTGGCAAGTTAAACCAGACAGACATACATTTTGACCAAAATGTAATAGACATTTTGATGGAAAGTACCAAATATCCATCCATAAAATGTCCGAGTCTGCTGGCGTAAGATATTTTTTCTTCCCGTTTTCGTGATATTTGAAGAAGATAGAAATCCCCGAGTTTTATGAATAAACAACTTGATATTATAAATGCTAAATACGGTTTAGGAGAATGTATAAATCAATAAACAAGGATATCTAATATATATCACACACACTCACCTCGCCTGGGATTTGTTAAAATTACTTTCGTTTTCCGTTAGATGTAGTCACATGTTATTTTTAGTTGAATTAAGAGGTTTATGTACATCTACATCTATATTAGGTTGTATTATGAGGTTTATGTACCTCTACGTCTATATTAGGTTACATTAAGAGGTTTAGTAATAAGAAATAATAGTAAATACACAAGGACATCTCGTAATATATCGCACACACACCTACCTTTACCGGGAATTACTTTTGGTTTGCGTTTCATGTAGGTATTGCCAATTATAGGGTATAAAATGAAACGAAACGCAACACAAGAATTGTATGATGTAGCAGGAAACTGGGTTTGTTTGTTTGGGTGGTTTTTGTTTGTTTTTTTAATCAATTCTTAGCGCACACGATCTTCTTTTAATGTGTGTCTAGAAAAATGAAGTGTCTGGTAATCAAGTACACAAATCAGTGTATTACAAAATTAGTCCAATCAATCACGGATATTCCGGAAAATGAAACGAAGTTTGAATGGTATTCTTAATTAGAATTTATCATACAAAATGTATGTTTACTACCGATAACATCGTTTTTTTTGTTTTTGTTTTTTTTTTGTGTGTGTGTGTGATAAATCTTAAATTTGTTGATATCAACCCGGGTAATATCACACATAAATAGAAAATAGCGCCGTTAGAGCTGAGGGAGTTTTGAAAACTAAAACTGGTATTTTACACATGTAACACAAGTTAAGTGAAACACAGACCTTCAGTTAGAGCCAACATTAAAGGAAAACATTGTGGTGCTTGGATGAACAGTACCTAAAAAGATGTTTTTTTTCTCGCTTTGTTTGTTTGAATTCTATTTATCTTTTTCTTTCATTTTTTTGTGTATTTTTATTATAGACTCCTTTTGTGGACTCACATTTAATATCATATATATTAAGGTACATAATGTACAATAAACTGCCGTATAAGTAGATCCATCCCAGTCTCTATTTACCGGTATGTCATCATGTAGGGAAGAAGTCGCGTAGTCAGTGTAAATACAGATAACTTGCATGTAAATAGTTATGCGTGCTGTTTAATCCAGTTTAATTTAATATCTTGTATAATGTAGTCGTATATCTGTAGCTAAAAGAACAAACGGCGGACAAGCAAACAGCTATATATCTGTCAAGATTTGTGATAAACTGAATATCAAACGAGGGGCTACACTGTTGTCGCGATGTGAAACTTTCAATAGGTGTCGGAAACCCTTAAAACTTAGATAAGATACAATAAAGCAATGAAACATTTCGCTATTGACCTGAATATTACATAGGTAACACAACGTTGATTTGAAAAGTACCACGTCGGTAAATACATTTGCCTCGCAACAACCCTGTTCTCTCTTGTTACACTTTGTATGAGTGAGTGGAGGTCTGATTAACTGAAGTGTGACATCAAAACTTAATGGCTTCGTACGTTTGCGACACCAAAGAAATAGAGGGTGAGGAAACCGTTATCTAACATTTTATGTCAGTTTAATATATTTTTTTTCGAATGTTTTCAAAAGTATCAAATAACATTATTAATAATTGCCGTTTTGCCGCGAGAATTTCTCAATGGAGACGCATCAGATTGGATCTCAATTATGAGCGGTCTTCCCCCGGGGTAGTTTCCTTGGTTATCTTGTTCTTATGTTGATTTATAATTTATAATTATGATTTATAAATGATCTGCCCGAAACAGCAGCCCCCGAACTGTGTACAGACGACACAAAATTATATGGAAGAGCCAATCCAAGATACAGTAAAAATCGACAAATTTGGTAACTGCCGTGTTAGAATAGAGAAAAAGAAGATAGGGTGTTTTTCAGGTGTTTCAAATTCTGCAGGACTTCAATGAGACCAACAACACAACAAGAAATATGTTGACCTGAAGGACACGTGGTCATAATAAAAGGTGGCAAAGCCTCATTTTAGACCAAACATCAGGAAACACTCCATTGCTGTGGGAGTCATAAACGACTGGAACTCTCTATCACCAGAGGTAGTAAATTAGGATACAATTAATCACTTCAAATGCAGCCTTTACAAACACAGGAAAGACTGTAGTGGAATTTGACCAAACTGCTTCAAGTGAATACATACAGATGTTAAACCAAGCTAAGAGACGTTTGAATAAAATGTTAATGTGTATATGTTTATGTGTACAATTATCTGCACACGTGTACTGAAACAGACTGAACAAGCTTGAGAAGTTTAAAGGTCGTATAGAAACACTCAACTGACAGGTAAATCAGAGATGTTTATTGTTATGCTTTGAACAAGATCGCACCAAAACATGAGGATTCCA